AGAGGAAGAGAGAGAGAGAGAGAGAGAGAACAAGCAGGAGGAAGTGCAGAAGACAAGCAGACTCCCTGAAAGCAGGGAGCTCAATGTGGGACTCCATCCCAGGACCCTGAGATCATGACCTGGGCCAAAGGCACACACTTAACCAACTGAGCCACCCAGGCATCCCTGAATCCATTTATCAGTTCTAAGAGATTTTTTTTTTTTTTGAGATTTTATTTTTAAATTGTCTCTAGACCCAATGTGGGGCCCAAACTTTCAACGCTGATATGAAGAGTCACATACTCCACTGACTGAAGCACTCCTACTTGTTCTAATAGTTTTTTGGTGGGTCTTACATTTTATTAGGGGCTAATATGTAAGTTTAAAAGTAATCCCAATAAAATTCCAACAAAACTTTTTTTTTTAATCTAGTAAGTGGGTTCTGAAGTCTATACAGGAAAACAAGTAAGGTCAGAAACATGAAATGGGGGAGAATACTCGTCCTTTTAGATAACCAAAAGCTAAAATAAATATAAGAGCAAAGTACTGGAACTTAAAAGATTAATAGAAATAAATAAGCAGATAAGAAATATACAGAAACAGGGGTGTCTGGATGGCTCAGTCGGTTAAGCATCTGCCTTCGGCTCAGGTCATGATCCCAGGGTCCTGAGATAAGCCCTGCATTGGGCTCCATGCTCAGTAGGGAGTCTGCTTTTCCCACCCCTCCCCCGGGTCACCACCCCCCACCCCCGCAGTTGCTCCTGAGCTTGCATGCTCACTCTCTCTCCCTCTCAAATGAATAAAATCTTAAAATAAATATATATATATATATATATATATATATATATATATATATATACACAAACATATACATATACAAATTTAATATATGATCTAGATTAAGAGTTAGGATACTTTTCCTTAAAGGGGCAGACAATAAGTAGTTTAGACTTACAGACCATATAGGCACTGTCGTAACAAACCAACTCTAACATTTTAGCGCAAAAGAAGCAACAGACAACATGTAAATGAACATGTAAATGTTCCAATAAAACTTTTTTTTTTTACAAAGAGTTAGCAAGTCAGTGACCACTGTTTGCTGATCTGATATAGATATTAATGCAAATCAGTGCAGAAGATAAATTATTCAACAAATAATACTAGAGCAATCCTATACCTGTCAGGTAAAATAAAACTGGAACCACACCTCATATGGGACACCAGGATAAATGCCAAATGGGTAAGATTCATGAGACCTTATTCATCCCATGTGTCTAGGTACCAGTACGCGATAGTACTATATAAATCAACTTTTCATAGGTACCTAATCATCTACTCAAGCCTGAGGCCAACCCCATTCATACTCAGCACGCACTACCTATTTGTGGAATAAACAAATTCTCTTTCTAAAGCTTACAACATACAGCACTATAATCTTTCCTGGATCATTAAAAATACTCATGGAAACAAGCAAAGGTCATCAAAGAATACTGGGCACCTAGCAGCCATAAGGAACTACTAATTAAGTTGTAAGAGAAAATCAAATGGAAATCCAAGTTCTTCAAATATAATAAGTATTGTACAAGACAGAAAGAAGAGCAAGAAACAGAAAATAGAGATGCCATATAGTCTAAAATTTTCTGTTTTCAGTATATTCCTTTACTTTCACACTACATTCATAAACATTATACAAATGAAATCAATAGAACATTATCAGGCAACCTCCTGCCTAAACAGAAGGATAAATTGAGCTAAAGCCCACTTAGACTATGCAAAAATAGACATACACCTATAATTCATTTGGTATTCAATTTATCATTAGAATTAGAAAAGAGGGGGTGCCTGCGTGGCTCAGTGGGTTAAAGCCTCTGCCTTTGGCTCGGGTCATGATCTCAGGGTCCTGGGATCAAGCCCCACATCCGGCTCTCTGCTCAGCAGGGAGCCTGCTTCCCCCTCTCCTCTCTCTCTGCCTGCCTCTCTGCCTACTTGTGATCTCTTTCTGTCAAATAAATAAATAAAATCTTTGTCAAATAAAATCTTTTTTTAAAAAAAGAATTAGAAAAGAGTATTTTTTTTTTTAAGATTTTATTTATTTATTTGAGAGACAGAGCCCACACAAGCAGAGGGGAGGAGCAGAGGGAGAAATAGAGGGGGCCTGACATGGGGCTCAATCCCAGCACCCTGGGATCCCAAGCGAACCAAAGGCAGCTGACCAACCGACTGAGCCACCCAGGCACCCCAGAAAAGAGTAAGTATTAAGAGATTCTGCCTACAGTGGGTGTGTTACATTCCTTCCCAAATTCAGTAAAGCTATAATCAGATTTTAAGGGGAACGCTATTTTCAGATTATCCAGTGGTATAAAGGGTTCATTTCATTCTCATGTATGGGTCTACACAGAAACTATGATTCAAGATGGGCATGCAACACTTGGTTCTTGTTTTCTGGATTTCTGATATTAAAAAGGGGGAGCAAACTAAGAACAAAACCATATTGTCAGTGGAAATAAAGATCTCTAGTTAGATGAAAATCAATGGTCAATTATGTTTTAATAAAGCTTTCAAGTAAATTACCTTCTAGGACTAAATCTTACTTCATTAAGAGAAAAGAAGTGGTTTGGGAGTTACATTTATAGGTACAAATATAAATCCACCAATAGTTTTTTTTTTTTTATATTTTATTTATTTATTTGACAAGCAGAGATCACAAGTAGGCAGAGAGGCAGGTGGCGGGGAGTGGGGAAGCAGGCTCCCTGCTGAGCAGAGAGCCTGATTCGGGGCTCGATCCCAGGACCCTGGGATCATGACCTGAGCTGAGGCAGAGGCTTTAACCCACTAAGCCACCCAGGCGCCCCTCCACCAATAGTTTTTAAATATCACCACAGTGTATATTCATACAATGGAATACTAAACAGCACTGAAAATGAATAAATAGAGCTATGTGAATCCACAAGAATGAATTCATAAATATACAAATCAAACTGCAGGAGAATTCATACAGTATGTATCATTTATATAAAAGTCTTTGTAAGATTTTATTTATGTATTTGAGAGAGAGAGCACACAAGCAGGGAGGGGTTGTAGAAGGAGAGGGAGAAGCAGGCTCCACAGAGCAGGAAGCCTGACATAGGGCTCCATCCCAGGACCCTGGGATTAAGACTGAGCCAAAGGCAGACATTTAACCAACTAAGCCACCCAAAGCCCCAGTTTTTAAATATGTTAAACAATAGGACATATTGTTGGAGGATATATAAATAAGCTTTGTAAGTCTAAGAGGGACACCTGAGTGGCTCAGTAGGTTAAGTGCCCAACTCTTGGTTTTGGCTCAGGTCATGATCTCAGGGTAGTGAGATCAGCCCCGCATCAGGATCTGCACTGGGCATGGAGTCTGCTTAAGGTTCTCTCTCTCCTCTCAGCCCCAATCCCTCAAGCACGTGCTTGTGTACACACTTTCTTTCTCTCCTTTTTCTCTCTCTTCCTCTCTCGAAAACAAAAAGTCTAAGAAATATACGGGGGAAATAATGCCGAAAGGAGGTGGTGCTTATTTCAGGGAAGGAAGTGAGTTAATTGGGTAGGTGTACAACTTGACTAGCAATGATCCATTTCTCATGGATGGCACATGCTGAATGGTACATGAGTTTTTGTTGTCTTATTCTTTACATCTTTGTATACGTCTGAAATTATTTTTTTAAATTTAATTTAATTTTTTTGAAGATTTTATTTATTCATTTGACAGAGATGACAAGTAGGCAGAGAGGCAGGCAGAGAGAGGGGAAGGGAAGCAGGCTCCCTGCTGAACAGAGTGCCCGATGCGGGGCTCGATTCCAGGACCCTGGGATCATGACCTCAGCTGAAGGCAGAGGCTTTAACCCACTGAGCCACCCAGGCACCCCTTTTTTTTTATTATTTTAAAAGCTACCACAACAGAGAACCCAAAAAAGAAATGGTCAAAGGATCTAAATATACATTTCCCCCAAAATACAGAAATGGCCAACTACCATATGAAAAGATGCTCAACATGAAATGCAAATCAAACCCATAATAAGATGCCACTTTACACCCACAAGAATGGCTATAATCAAAAAGATAGTAACTGTACCCCTGAAAGAAATAATACATTATATATCAATAAAAATAAATAAATAAAATGAAAATAAAATAAAAATTTTAAAAACAGAAAGACAGTAACAAGTGTGACAGTATAAATGGTAACTTTCATCCACTACTTATGGTAATGTAAAATGGTACACGTGCTTTAGAAAATAGTTTGGGAGTTCTTCATAATGTTAAATACAGAGTCACCATATGACCCAGCAATTCTATCCACAACTAAGTGCAGAGAAATAGCCATACAAAAACTATACAAATGTTCACAGCAGCATTATTCATTAACAGCTAAAAAGTGGAAACAACCCCAAAAGTCCATCAACTGATGATGGATAAACAAAATGCAGCATATCCATAAGAGAATATTATTCATCCATAAAAAGGAATGAAGCACTGATTCATGCTACAACACAGATGAACTTTAACAAAATTTATGCAAAATAAAAGAAGCTAGATACAAAGGGCTTATAATATAATCATATCACATGATTATATTTATATGAAATGTCGAGGACAGGTAAATCCATACAGAAGAAAACAGACTGGTGGTTGCTGGGGAATGAAGAGTGACTCCTAGTTGGTGCAGGGTTTCTTTTTGGGGTAATGAGCATGTTCTGGAATTAGATACTGGTTATGGGTACATGTTATGCTATGAATGTAATAAAAATCACTGAACTGTACACTTTAAGAGGGTGAAATTTGATGGTGTATGAATTATATGTCAACTTTTTAAAAAAGCCACCACACCTCCAAAAATTGCCATATACATGAGACTAGGACATATCTGCAAAATGAAGCCCTAGGGACCCAAAGAATCCAAATTTAGTTAATAGTGATAGATGCACATTTACAGTATTCCTCAGAAACAACTTAAAAGGGACAATGAAACAAGTTTAACATTGTTAAACTTAATTTACCTGTGTACACGAGAGAGGAGAGTGGATACCGCAAGCCAAGAGCATCCTCTGTAAAGGAATCAACAAAGTCCTCTAGCATATGAAGCCCAAAATCTTTGCCTCTGTATTTCTTTCTTACAAACATTGTATCAAGAACTGGCAGTTGGTAGCTTTGGGTAAGAAATGAGGCACATATGCTTCCTGCAGTCATGAAAAAAGAAACCCAGTAATTTTTCACATTAAAAGGCCATACATGTATATATGTTTAAAGAACATAATTAACAGTCTAAAAATGGTTAGTTTTTCTTACCTTAAGAGTGTTAAAGAAATGTATCAATTTCATAATATAAAATGCTTCCCAGCTGCTGTTACACATACTTCACAATGTATACATGTGATGATGATAGAACTATGTATTTTGTCACAGAATCATCTAATAGAAGTCACTATTACCATTTTTTAAGTATATACTAGAATATGCATTGCTATCTACAGACTTACACAACTTTAAAACTCATCACCTATTACATTTTAAAACTAAAAAAGTGTATGTGATGACTGTTTTTAGTGTATGTGATGACTGTATATAGTGTAAAATGCGTGAAGTACCTCATTACAACTTCAGTACCTAAATAATCATCTATCCGTTTTTCTCTAGTGAGTAGTCTCATTTTTATCTACTCCATGATGGCAAAGAAAGAAGTCAGTTTTCCAGATTTTTAAGGACTACAGAATAGGACTAAATGGAAACAGAGACGCTTGGGCAGCTCAGCCAGTTAAGCATCTGCCTGAGATCCAGCCCCAACGACCTGCTCTCTGCTCAGCAGGGGGTCCTTTTCTTCCTCTTCCTCTGCCCACTCCCCAGCTCCTGCTTGCTCCCTCTTGCTCTTTTTCTCTACCTCAAATAAATAAATAAAATTTTTAGAAAAGTGACTAAACAGAAACATTTCTTAGAAATGGCTAAGTCAACAATCTTTTTGCTGTACATGCATTTTTTTAAAATATCTTGAATACTTAAACAGAAGAAATAACTTACAGTCACTAAATATGCGTCTTCTATTACACAGCTATGTTGATTTGTCTTTTTAAGAATGCTAATTTGTGGGGCGCTTGGGTGGCTCAGTGGGTTAAGGCCTCTGCCTTAGGCTCAGGTCATGATCCCAGGGTCCTGGGATGGAGCCCCACATCGGGCTCTCTGCTCACTAGGGGGCCTGCTTCCTCCTCTCTCTCTGCCTGCCTCTCTGCCTACTTGTGATCTCTGTCTGTCGGGTGAATAAATAAAATCTTAAAAAAAATTAAAAAAAAAAAAAGAATGCTAATTTGTGTTCCGACCCTCCAGTTAGATGTGCTAGCTCCTTTAACACATTATAAGACAGTATATAGGTTGTGGGCATCACAATGGGGCATCCCACTCTCTATTAACTTTAGAAATAGTTCATAGTTAATCAGTCAATATTCTACTCTTTTTGTGCCTCAAATTAAAAAAACCTATTGTTCTTCAATTATTCATATGATTTCAGATAATTCTAATAATGCAGTTCAAGGAAAACATAAAATTTCAGGTAACAAACATCCCACAAATTGACTTTAACCAATCATACCATTGATGACTTGATCAACATAACAAGATCTTTTTTAGCTGAACCAAATAATTCGGGTTATTCATGACTAAATTGGAGAATTTCAGTAACTTTCTGCAATACTCTCCAAGACTATCAACTAATTTAAGCTTAGAATAGGTAATTCTCATTGCTTAGATCTTAAATGCTGACATTCAGCTATGATATTTCTACAGTTTAAAAGGTCTTATAGAATGGCTATTCTACAATGTTAACAATGTTATATACTTGAGGGGCGCCTGGGTGGCTCAGTGGGTTAAAGCCTCTACCTTCAGCTCAGGTCATGATTCCAGGGTCCTGGGATCGAGCCCCGCATCGGGCTCTCTGCTCAGCAGGGAGCCTGCTTCCCCCCTCTCCTCTCTGTCTGGCTGCCTCTCTGCCTACTTGTGATCTCTGTCAAATAAATAAATAAAATCTTTTTTTAAAAAAAAGTTATATACTTGAAATTTACTAAGAAAGTAAATATTCAGTGTTATCTCTACAAGAAAAAAAAAAGAAAATAGTAACTGTGCAGCAGTCTCTTTTAATTAGCTTGATTTTGGTGAATATTTCACAATGTATACATATATCAAATTATCAAGCCGTACACTTGAATTATGTATCATTTTAACTGTCAATTTTACTGAATAAAGCTGAAATATATAAACAAGTTACTTGTGGAGTGTAACAGGTAGTCTCACCAGTAACTACTATGACCATAATTAATTTTTAATGCCTTGAAATCAGAGTTTTTTCATAGTAACTGCTAGTAGTGATTACAAAACTCAAGAGACATTACTTTAGGGGCGTCTGGATGGCTCAGTGGGTTAAAGTCTCTGCCTTCGACTCAGGTCCTGATCCCAGGGTCCTGGGATGGAGCCCCGAATTGGGCTCTCTGCTCAGCAGGGAGCCTGCTTCCCTTCTTCTCCTGCCTGCCTCTCTGCCTACTTGTGATCTATCAAATAAGTAAAAAATCTTTAAAAAAAAAAAAAAAAAAAAGAGGGGCGCCTGGGTGGCTCAGTGGGTCAGAGCCTCTGCCTTTGGCTCAGGTCATGATCTTAGGGTCCTAGGATCAAGCCCCGCATTTGGCTTTCTGCCCAGCAGGGAGCCTGCTTCCCTTCCTCTCTCTCTGCCTGCCTCTCTACCTACTTGTCGTCTCTCTCTGTCAAATAAATAAATAAAATCTTTAAAAAAAAAAAAAAGACATTACCTTATAAGCACTAGTAGTTCAAAGAACAAAGCAAAAATGAAGAGTGAAAGCACTATCTAGTTCTAATTCTCAATTCAGAGTCTGAGGATTTACGGCTGTTTCCTAATGTACATGCTCCAGGTTCCTTACGAAGGTATAATAATTTCATGATGGAAATAATCCACAATTTGATTTTTTTTTTTCCACACAAACATTTCTTCTACCAGAGAGGAGGTAAATTCCAGCATCTTATATTGTTAAAATGGTAAATTTATGGAACTAGCAGTATTCACAAAGTTTCAAGTTTTTCTATATTTATTTGTCATGTATATATTCATCGCAAAATAAGATGCTGATTCTCTTCCTTTATTTAAAAACTTAGACAGTTGACCCTTGAACAACTTGGGAGTTAGGAGCACTGACCTCCTGAGGAGCTGAAAATCCCCATATAACTTAACCCCCCAAAACTTAACTACTAACACCCTACTGCTGACTGGAAGCCTTACCGAAAACAGTCAATTAACATATATTTTGTATGTTATATCTATCATATACTATATTCTCCCAATACAGTAGGCTAGAGAGAATAAAATGTTATTAATAAAGTCCTAAGAGGGGCGCCTGGGTAGCTCATTTGGTTAAGCATCTGACTCTTGCTTTCAGCTCAGGCCATGATCTCAGGATCCTGGAATTGAGCCTTGTGTCAGCCTCCACACTCAGTGCGGAATCTGCTTGTCCCTCTTCCTCCTCCTCTGCTCCTCTCTTCGCTCATGCTCTCTCTCTCTAATAAATAAATGAAATCTTAAAAAAGTCGTAAGAGATAATACATTTGTAGTACTGTACTGTATTTATTGAAAAAAAACACATATAGTAGACCCATGGAGTTCAAACCTGTGTTGTTCAAGGGGCAACTGTACTTTAAGTGTTCTATCAGTACACAGAAATACCAAATAAAGAGCACAAAAACTTCCCATGTTACCATTCTTCAGACCCATCAACAGCTGTAGACAATAGCACAATTAACTAGTAAAGCAAAACCATAACCTAACTTAGATGAAGTTCTCATTGAATTAAATTTACTAACTGTAATTAAATTAAATTAAGCATTGCACATGGTATATTGAATACTTATTTATAATCCTCAAATTTTCCTCTTTGACCACTTTCTTCTATATATTCTCTCTGGGAAATCTCACCTACTCTCAAGGCTTGTTACCATGTATCCAAATGTTGATAATCACTAGTCTTTAATTTCTATAATGCATGAGACTTTCCCAAAATCAAGAATAGAAGAGCACACATAAATGTGAATGTAACAAAAATCACACAGTTAGCTCAAAAGAGAAAAAAACATTTGACAAAATCCAATACCTTTCATGATAAAAAATACTCAATGTCCTAACCTGATAAAGGTACTTAGGAAAAACTCACAGCTAACATCACACTTAATGGTAAAAGACTGCATGGTTCTTCCTAAGATCAGGAACAAAACATAACTGTTCATGCTCACTGCTTTTTTTTTTTTTTTTAAGATTTTATTTATTTATTTGACAGACAGAGATCACAAGTAGGCAGAGAGGCAGGCAGAGAGAGAGGGGGAAGCAGGCTCCCTGTGGAGCAGAGAGCCTGATGTGGGGCTCGATCCCAGGACCCTGGGATCATGACCTGAGCTGAAGGCAGAGGCTTTAACCCACTGAGCCACCCAGGCACCCCCATGCTCACTGCTTCTATTCAACACTGTATTAGAGGTTCTAATTCGGCAAGAAAAGGAAATAAAAGGCAGCCAGACTAAAAAGAAAGAAGCAAAGCTACATTTATAGATACATACTTTTGTATATACAAAATCTTAAGGAAACCACTAAAAAATTACTAAAACTTAAAGGCAGTTCAGCAAGGTTGCAAGATCAATATACAAAAATCAATTGTATTTCTATACACCAGCAATGAACAATCTGAAAATAAAATTCAAGAAAACAATTCCAGGGGTACCTGAACGGCTCAATTGAGCATCTAACTCTTGATTGGGGCTCAAGTCATGGTCTCAGGGTCATGAGATCAAGCCCCGCTGCATCAGGTTCTACAGTCAGCACGGAGTCTGCTTAAGATCCTCTCTTTCCCTCTACCCCCTTCCCCCATTCATGCACGCTCTCTCCCCCTAAAATGAAATCTTTCGTTAAAAAAGGAAAACAAGGAACGCCTGGGTGGCTCAGTGGGTTAAGCCTCTGCCTTCAGCTCAGGTCATGATCTCAGGGTACTGGGAATGAGCTCCACATCAGGCTCTCTGCTGAGCAGGGGGCCTGCTTCCCCCACCCCTCTGCCTGCCTGTTGACTTGTAATCTGTCTCTGTCAAATAAATAAATAAAATCTTAAATAAAAAAAAAAGGAAAACAATTTCATTTATCACAGCATTAATA